GCGAAATAGAAGTAATCGGAGTAAAGTTGAAAGAAAGAAAGTGAAAGAATCTCTATCGTGAGATCGAAAGCTCTTGCAGTCTGTAGTCGTGCTTTTGCTAATTTCAAATCACTCGTAATCTTCCGTAACAATGCCCATTGTGACCGTAAACTGCGCAGACTGTGCAAACACGGCTGTGCAACTGCCACCAATTTCACTCGCGTCCGGCACAGCGATTATCTACGCGGAACCGCCTATTCGATCGTTGAACGTTGTCGATCCACGAACGTTGCCACCGTTCTACGGAACGACTCGCAATAAATCGGCGGCGCGCAACCAACCGCCACTTTCATAAATTACACCGTCTCACCGTCCGGCACGCCGATGTTCCGTGACGCCAAAAAGTTACAGCTATCGACGCGACTATCGATAACTCGGCCTCGGTGGCGACACCGGACGTTCTCCTCTCGAGAGGACTTTCCATAAATCGGACACCGAGCGACTCGTCGATAAATCCGAGGGACGGGGGTCGCAACTGCAAAGCATCCTCGAGGAACCATTCTCAAGGGACGAGGAAATGAAAAAGGGAAAGAAGAGAAAGCCAAAGACGTATCTGCCGACAAACGAACGTTACGTTAACGTAAGCTCGAGACGTCGCTAGGCTAGCGTACGCGCGAGTAACAGCTCGCTCAAGGCGTAGTTTATAAAATTTTATAACGTCAACGCGTGAACAGGGTGGAGAGGAGCGCGAGATGCGAACGGTGGCGAAACCCTGTTTAACAAAGTAACGACTACAATTATTCTGCTTTACATCTGCCTCGCGAACTCATGGCCACGAAACGACGCGCCGTGAGTATGTACCTTCGAACCGGAGACGGTGCAATTTACCGCGGATAATCGTCGATCAAGAAGAGTTACAACTATCGGCGATTGTGTCAGCTACTCGGTTACATCGAAACGAGGGTCTTCTTCTCCCTTTTCTCTTCTTATTTTTTTTTTTTTTTCCACTCGGACGATCGCTGTTCGCGGAGAACGCACGAACCGTTGGTTTATCGCTCAATCTCTATCCTCTTTCGACTTTCTAGGAACTAGATACGAGCCTAACGATAAACCTAGAGGAAAGTGCGAGGAAGTGAGAGGAAGCTCGAAAGTCAACAACGATCGGCAGTCTTCGATCTGCACCCTAATCTCACCAAATCGAAAGCGTGCCAAATCGCACTGATGCAATCGCACGAGGCAGCGTGTGAGATTTAGAAGCTTTTTCCAAGATAAAGAAAAACTCGTCATCCGCAGGAGCGAGCAAAAAAGCAAGCGAGGAGCCTTCGCGTGCAGAGGGGACATATCGTCTTCCTCGTGAGATAACAAAGCATTCCAACCCTCGACCGGTGCAGGTCCCGCGCGTGTAGGAAAAGTTGCTCGCGTGGTTCGTGTCGTGGCTCGTTCAATTTACATAAACACGTACTCATTGATTGCCGGGCCAGATTGTCCACCGTTATTACTCCAACGACCAGGTTAAACGTAACCTGGCGCTACGAATTATCGTTGAATACTAGAACCTAATCGCTTCGTTACCACGACCTCGCCTCCACCGAGATCGATCGTCCTCCACACATCGTCGCACGTTCTGTCGCAAAATCTCTGCTCTGTCCGCTTGTCTTTGTTACGCGCGATCAACTCGAGAACGTGCCTTCAGCCGCCGCGTGGTGAAACGAAACGATAAGAAACAGGTGTAGAGAAGAGCGTAGGGGTTGATTGTACGGGTTTCCGTAATTTTCAGGTTTCAGGTTTCACCAGGTGGCTGAGCAAAAATAGCTTCCGAGATGATGATTTCTAGAATTGTTTCTTTCGAGCAATTATATCAATCGCTCGAACCTCTGCTGTTGACACTGAAATTGAAGATTCGATTTTCTTCAACGACAATCCTTTTAACGGGATGATCGATGTGTTCGATTTTAAAAGGACGAGAACGATGGACGACTCTCGAGATTAAAGAAAAACGAATTGATTAATTTCCTATTTCTATGCATGCAACAAAAAAAAAAAGAAAAAAAAGAAAGAGGAAAAAGCACGTTAAATAAAAGAAAATATTTAACATGATGCTCTGCCATCGCACAAACATCGGAAATATCTACGTACTTTATTTGCAAAACCATGGACGGTGTATTAACGATCAATTTCCATTATAACATCCTGTCGTCATAAACAACATTTTACGTTTGCTTGATACTTCCAATTTTAGCAAAATCATCCTGGAATCTTGGAAAAATGAATAAGAAGCTAGCCATGCTATACGTTGCTAGTAAAAAACAAGTTGGCGTTTAAAAACTGATCGTCGTATCGTTGAGGCAATTTAAACGAGCGTACCACTCGCATAGTTAAATATCGGGCAACTTGGCGGTTAATGGTTAATAAGTTAATGCCAGTTGATTAGTTAAACAGGAAAAATGGCAAACTAAAGAGGGCGAGCGAATATCAATCGATCGTTCAGCGAACCGACACGCGAAGCTAATACCAACAAGGTTTCAAGGTTTCAAGGTTTCAAGGAACTCGAATGATCGAATTTCAAGGAAGGCTTTACACCCAAAGGAATCGAATTGAACAACTGTGTAATTGGTCGTGATGGTAGAAATGGCCCGAATGGCTAGAGAAGAGGCCAAGAAGGAAAATGATAAAAATTAAAAGTGGCTCGATCACTCACCAAATTGACACGCGAAAGAAGCATCGGCATCAGGAAATCCATTCTTCTCCGAACCTGGAACAAAAGAACAAGGTAGTAGACCGTCAGGATCAGATCAGGAGGAATCGATAGCGGGTTAAGCGCAGACGAATAAACGGAAAGCAGAATCGAGCAAACAAATGCAGATGCAAGGCACCACCCACGGCGTAACCCTTTTCCTCCGCTGTCATTAAAGAGAGACCGCCCTAGATGTCGGTCCCAAGGACTCGCATGAGCTCAATGGAAAGATTTTAATCAAATCGATCGTAGAGATCCTATCGTGATCCGTGGGATCTACACGTTTCATTGTTCGACAATGTTCGACGAGCGTGCTCGTGTGTGCGTTTGGTAATCCGAGTGGTGTATGTTAATGATTGGTATCGCATGGATGTTGCATCGTCGAAGAACGCTTCGAGATTACAATTCGGCTTTTCAATTGCACGCGCGTACACGTGTCACGTCGAATGAGCCACGACACCAGAAACAATCGTTGCGAGAAGAAATTGTGCTTTTCTCCGACCGAGATGAGTAGGAATAATCACGTTTGGAAAGAGAACGTTTGCTGATAGATCAGGAAGATGATGAAGGAATTATCTTAATATAAATTTTCTATACACGCTGGCACTAATCTACCAATTTTTACAACTTGGTCCTAAAACACAAACATCACTCGATTTCTCTCAAAACGAATACCGTTTCCGCCAGACTTTTTTTAAATCTTTTATTCTAATTCTAATTCGTTTAAAAATTCCGAGCCGTCCGGCAACTCAGTTGTTAATCTCGTGTGAAAAGGTAGAATGTTGCGCTTGGAACGTGTAGCATTTGCTAAACAGAAGATGGAAACGAAAAAAAGTGTCAGGCCGTACCGTCGGCCTGCGATCTGATGCGCGCTAGGCTGAGGGATAGCAATTCCAATCACTCGGGGATGGAACGCGTATCGATCGATCGATCGATCGATCGACGAATACCACGTGCTCCGCGACTGCAACTGTAGTCGGTGGTAGTCGGGAGCACCACCCACGAAGTAACTACTTAGCATGCACGAGCAGCTAGAAGGTAGCTACCCGCCTCTATCTGACAAGGTTAACTAATACAGCTCGGCTGGTCGCGAGTACTCTCTTGATTAGAAGAGCGTTGATAAATCGACGGGAGAAACGCGATTTCGAACGACAAAGGTAAAGATGAATTTTACCAAAGACAAGAAGATAAAAAGAAGGAAAAAAGAGACGCGCGTTAGACGTGCTTTAAACGACTAATTGCACCGACTGCAAAATCCAGATCTAGATCGAATTATCAGCGTACGTATAATACAGACAGACACACACACACACACACACGACAAGTTTGTACGTACGTGAAAACAAGGAGAAAGAAAATATAAATATAAAGGAAGATTTATTTAATTAATTCTGGCTCGGGAGATAATTGTCGGTACGATTGTCGGATCGATTTAACAGATTTCCGATCGGATAAATAGAAGAGGTATGCGTTGTTGCGCACGTCGGTAGACCTGTGCCAACGTCGAGCCACGTCAAAACGTTGGAAACGAGAAAAGTTCGCAGCGGGACACCTGCTACCGAGCTTTCCTTACTTCGAGAGTGACTTTTTTCACGGTGCACGCGCTCGGTCGGATTGGACGCGCCGGTGGCTTCAGCGGGCGCCCAGCATGGGGTGGCTTCGTGCCAGCACCACGCCAGTGAAATTGCCCGATTACTCCTTTTCTTGGTGTGTTTCAACGTCCAGACTCGTCGGAATACCGATACATTAAGTCATAAATTCGCGATTACCGTCTCTCCGGGATTAAGAACTGTATTTCGTGCCTGCGAAGTTTCTCCTTTTTGCCAAGATAAATTTCGTACCGAGCAGCCCGTAAAAAAATCATTAATTGCCCCATACTCTGCTCCGCCCGAGAGAAACGCGTTCCTTTTTAGTTTCGGCTTCTCCAGTATTTTCGAAGGCGAAATTGTGTTGCGTACAACAACAATTCGTTAATTATTCCGGAACCACAGGGGAGAAACGTCGCGTTCTTTTTTCAAGCTGCTCAATTCGTGAAAGTGTTTACCACGTTGCGTTACGTATTTTTCGAGATAAATTTCGATTTGTCGCGCGTAAATGTAAAGAAATTTATTCGACGAACTCTCCGTCGAAGAATTTTTATTCCTATCGAGTATCAAGCTAATAATTTCTCTTGTTAAAAAACTGTTCTTTCCTTACCTCCATATTCGTCCGAAATGAAGTGGAAACCCCAGTCGAGGTTGAACATTTTTCTCAAGAGTTCTTCTTCCCAACTAACAAACGTGTTCACTTTTCCGTCAGTTATACGGTTAATGATTTAATAAACGTTGCTCGCGTCGTGCAAAATTTCGGAGTAAAAGTACACCGAACGTTTTTCTGAAATCGGTAAAATCTTTGGTGAAATTCACTCACACGAAAAATTTCAAAAGTTTCTCGACACAAACTCTTACATCTAGTAAGTAACGATCTAATCGATCCATCGAAACGCAATCGAAACTCATTGCAGAATGAAATTGTTGTCACTTTACGGTACAATGGAACAACCTTGAAGGACGGAAAAGAGGCCGAGCTGGCCCGAGAGAATAATAACGTGGAAAAACTCGGCGTACACGGATTTCCCTGTTGCACGTACGTACAACTGGAGGCTTTCAGCATCGGCGGCGTTCCCTGCGGCTGCGTTCCTTTATCACGATGGTTTTGCCAGCTTTTGCCGCTAGAAAGGAACGCCAGCAGCGCGCGCGCGCGCACGCTTACGGACGCGTGGATCATAAAACACGCCGTTCGTAACCGTGCCATTTCGCGCGATCCCAACCGATAGTCCGCTTTTGCTGCGTTCGCCACCAGTAAACCAGGCGTGTCCTTACTTTCTTCCTCCCCGCATGCAGAGACTATTGCTACTGTTTTTCGCGTTAGCGCAACACGCTCTAATGCCAGCTGCTATCCGTTGGATTGCATGTTTCCTAGAAACGTGCGCTCGCCTCGAACGATCTGCCACCTCAGCTCGAATCTCTCGCTAGCGATGGCAACGAGCAACGCATCGAGTTGCTTCGCAACGTTTCGAGTAAAGAAGATTAGATTCTCAGAATCAGCAAGATCAGAGATCGCAAGATTCATCAAACACGAGCAGAAAAATTTCAGCTATAACAGACTCTCGATCGATAGATCGATCTCGTCGAGCCACGATCGTGAAGTATCGTGAAGTATCGTGAAGTATCGTTGAAAAGCGTGAGTGAATCGAAGCATTATCAGCACACCGATGCACAAATCGTTCTGACCTGTCGTTTTACCCTGTGTTTTACCAACTGTTCGAAACGGCTGAAAATTGGCAAGAAACGGCAACTCGCCAAAAGTTTTAGCAAGCGTGAAACTTTATAGGACTTAGGACTTACTGCCATCGCTATCTAGAGGCGATTCGATCGGGAATTGCTCGGCATTTGAAGCCGAGGTGACCCCTTCGTCTCGCGGTAAACGGTGCGGCAGCCGTTTTTCTGCGTTAAACGCGCGGAACGTGTTTGCGAAATGGAACCAGTCGATGGAACGAAATTGGAAATATTCCAAGAGGATTTTTTGGCCACAGCTCCTGGCTCTGGTCGATAATGTTCCATAGCGATGGGTGATTTATTTTACGAGCGCGGATCAAAGCTGTATATATATAGTTGTACGAAACCGATCGAAGGTAGGTTGTTTCGGATGATTTGAGGCTATTTTGCGGTTTCGCTGGCTAAAGCGAGATAAACTGCGGTCAACTAATTAGCCCACTTTACTACGCTCGCACGATAAATTAATCCTCGGGAAAAACAGATATATATATATATATATATACGATGAAATTTTCATGCCTCGATCGTAAAATTGTTCGCTTTACTCGCTTGCGTGTGTACGTATGTTTTTACTTTCATTCGAGTTAACAGCGCTAACTCGTTTCGTAAGATCGAGGTACAATAATAGCAAATTTCATATAAAGTGGAAAATGTGGCCGTGTCCCAGCCAAAAGTGTCCCACCAACGTTCCGACTTGTCTGAATCACAATTGGTTAAATGGCGAAACAAATTATTGGCACGTTTCTCTAGCTATTCACCGGTCCAGTGTAGAGAAATAAATCGCTACGCTGCCGAGCATTCTCTGTTCTTCCAACTATGAAGCCGATAACAAAAGCGAACGCGCAGCGTAACAGTCTCGAGCGTGAAAAATCAAAGAATTCCGAAAGAAGGATGCCATGCAAAGTGGCGTTGTTTTTCCAAGGCTCGTTTCGTCTCAAAGGAAACCGAAAGTGAACTTTACCGCTTTACGTAGAATGTGCAACAACGAATCAACGATAGAATTCCACGATAAATCAATCCGTGTCTGCCGAAGCGTGACTCAAGCGCTATAATTGCAACAATTGCCACCGAACAGAAAGAGATTGACGTTCAAAGTCTACGTTCAAAGCCGTCTGCTACTAATCGCGTTTTCTTCAAATTTTTACTCCGTTCCCTATTTTTACTTGGTAAAAAAGAAAAAAAAAAAAAAAAAA